TTTTTTTTGGCCGGAACGATAGAGGAACTATAATAAACCGAGCGCACAAAGTGCGAAAAAAATACAAAGCTCCCAATGGGAGAATAAAAAAAGACAACCTAAAACAGAAAACTGAGAGGACTGGTCAGACGACCGCCTAGAATCTCGACTCTAGCAACGCTAGAAACCAAAAACTAGACTCACAAGACAACTACTACGCAAAACACGAACAAAAACCACAAGGCTCCCCACAGGAGAATCGAGATGGGAGCTGCTCCCCACAGGAGAATCAAGTTGCTCCCGCTCATGCTTACAGAGATCTACTGATCCAAACCAAAAACACAAGATCCTAAACAACACCACCAACGGACAAACCTAAAAACAACCTTACCACACAAAACAACAACAAAAAGAACAACTGCAAAAAAACACACAATAACAAGCCCTCCCTCTTCAGCAACACCCAACCAGACTGGCAACCACAAAATCAACCCCGAGAAACCCACCGTTTGAGATAAACGACCCCTCCACTGCAATTAAGCCTAGCTGGATCGCGACTCACACCGTTTGAGATCATATCTTTTTTACTTAACAAATAATTTTTTTCCATAGAAAGTTGACATTTTGTATGTTGAATAAGTATATTTGATTCAATCATTCTTAAACTATGCATGTTCACTAAATTGTTCATGTTTAATTGTTTTAATACTATAATAAAATTTGTATGGTAAACAATATAATATTTAGAAATTAAAGATGATACTTTTAGTGGTGCATTATATAATTCACACTTATGAAATATCATATATTTTATTTAAGAAATCTTAAAATAATTTTTCTCTTACATTTTAAAATGCCTTTAAAATAACTAAATCGAAACCTAACATCATATGTAGATTAATTCAGAATAATATAATTAAGAATAAATTATTATTTAAAATATATTAATTTGTGTAGGTAATGTTTTGTATGTATAAGAACTTAAAGATATAATTAAGAATTAAAAGTAAAATATAATAATTAAAAATTGTAACTTCCTAGCATGAATAAGAA